TTAAATCTTCTGCCCAGCAGCATCACAGCCTATAGAATGAATGTCTTTTTTTCCCATTGGTATCTACACTCTGAGAAATGTGTTGCTTGAACTGCTTCTTGTACAACAGATGGAAGGACATTCTAAAATATCAGATGGCTCCCTAACAGGCTCTTTGAAATTCAAATAAGGTTACATATCCTTCACCTCACCATACAAGACCACAACAGGGCTGATTACAGAAATACCAGCACAGGTCTGTGTCAAATCAATACTGTGACACGGTGTCAAGCTTATCAGAGGGGCTGAACTGTTTATTTTCATTTGGCACCTGCCTGCAGTGCCTGTCACCACCAGGAACATTCCAGGAAGTCCCAAGCAGCCAACACAAGGACACCAAATATAGCCTGGGACACAGCAGCTGGAACTGTCCTGCCACAGTTATTCCATTTTCATCCAAGGGGATGAACAACCTGGGATCCATTTCTGGAGATAATGCAGTGGCACAGTGATTGCTCAGCAGCCAGACAAATACCTTGTGTTAGCTGACAGAGCTGATTTGGCAGCTCTGCCCCCACACACGTTCCAGGAGGTGGTGCTGTCCCTTGGATGCACTGAAATCCTGCTTTGTCTCTTTGGCAGAGAAAAACTGCAGCAGATAAGGGGCACTTTATGCAAGTGCAGAGCCCATGACACCAACTGAAGACTCAACTTTTTGATGAAAAAGTAACTCTTAAATGCACATTCAACATTTCTGAGAATTCCAAGACCGTCAGCTCCTCATGCTTCCAACATGAGTGCACTTGCTCTGGCAAGAACAGCAGCTCTGTAGTGCTTTGCATGAATTCAAACCACGGCCTATCACTCACAGAGAATAAACCTGTTGTGTCACCCATCTGTAACAGCCATCTGGGACAGATGTTTCAAATGGAAACTGCAACCAGATTTAGGCTTCCCTGACAACCTACCTTACATCTTGATCAGTTATCCCTCAAATGACCCAATAAGAAATTATGGATCCCACCTGACTGAAGGAAGCAATACAGATACTTCACACTGGTGTCCTTTCCGGATAAATCAGCAGCCCAGAAAGCAGATCAGTACTGTGCCTGCACATCCTACCCCATCCCACCCAATCCCTGCTGCTTGGAGAGCTAAAGCTCACTTGAATCTTTTATGGGCATGGAATTGACCATACATTATGTATGCAAAGTCAGACAGACTATTTGTTTGCTCCCATTTACTTGCTACTAAGAACCTTAGCTTCTTATGCCAAATAAATCACCTTTAAAACATGTTAATGATCAACAAACATAAACATTCTTCATAAAATTCTGAAACAAAATTATTAGCTATTCACATCCAAGTTCTATAAATTTCACTGCATGTCCATCTGGCAGACATCTGCATTATTTATTTGCTGTCACACTCAGTAAATTGATTTACCGGCATTTAAAGGTGTCATCTTTACTCATTACAATTTCAGTGATCACTCCAGCGCTGCCAACATTGCACCAATGACCTGAGTTTCAACTTCTAATCTCTCCTAAGATTGAATTCCACAAACAAAGCAGTATGTGAAGAGACAGAGGAAACTGAAGGACTAAGGTGCTTTGATTTAAAGTTCATTGATCTCTATACAGTAACAATAGGGTGAGAAAGTTAATTTAATGACTCAAGTGCAACACACACTTTTCTGAGCCCAAGGTAAACTTCAGAACTGGCAACACTGCTGTGCAGTGGACTTGATAGACAAGAAAGAGGAATGAGACCATTGGAAAGGATTAGTGCCCTGGAAGGTTTGGGGCAGATGTGGCCACATCACCTGTGTGCTCTCCCAGTTGTGCTTCCCAGCTCTATCAGCAGCAGTGCCAGAGACCAGAACTCCATTCCTGCCCTGGAGATATTTCAGGCTGGCAAACAGCCCCCAGCCTCCCCCCAGCTGCTGGGGGAGCCATTTGAACACAAGCAGTATCCATCAGCTTGGAAAATGCATCAGAACACAAGAGACTCAGGGTGCTCTGGACTAAGTGATAAGTGCAGGAGATTTCCACGAGAAGATGCAATGACACCCCCCAAGCTCCCTAACTTGTGTGGTCCAGCACAAGCTCAGGCCCACAGCTCCAAAACCATCCCCACTGACCAAGGAGCTTCTGAGCTTCCAGTGGAATCTGAGCTCCAGCTGAAATAACAGCACCTGCCCTCCTGTGCCAGCCCCAGGCAGCACAGGAACCAAACGCTGCAGTGACCTGCAGCTCACAGCCACACAGATGCACACAGCCACAGCCAAACCACAGGAGAAGCTGGAGTTTGATCATGCCTCACTAGAGAAAAACATAATTAAAACCATTAGGTTTGGAAGACTTCCAGCCCTATGAATCTGACAAAGACATTTATGATGATAGAGGAATAATAATGTCCAGTAAAATCCCTGTACATAAAAGCACTAAAAGTGTTTTACAGTCAAAAATCCAAGGAAAGAACATTTTAAGTAAGTTAATATGCATCTTCTATAGAAAAGGAGCAGCGTGACTTTTACATTTCATAAAGTGAAGCTTGACTTCACAGCTATCTGTATCCTATCACACTTTTCCTGTCAGACTAAACATCTCTTGTTTTGATGCAAACAGAGCAACTTCTCTCGCAGGGTATTTTTGATTAAAATGAACTCGAGGCTTAAAAAAGAAGAGCCCAAGTCCCTTCTGTGATAGCAAATTTCTGATGCTGCAATCCACTTTGCACAGCTGGGCTGTGAAGGATGCCCAGGATGAGAAGGAATTCATAACCCCCTCCACCAAGAGGACTGCATTATAGTAAGGCTTACTGACTCTTTATTCATCCATGCAGCAGGTTCTTACTTGAGGTAACATTAAGAGAAATGTCTCATTTACTTGAAAAGACAAAAAAAACAATTTCACAGTTGTTGGAGAAAACATTTGGCGGCGTGCTGCCATCTGCACCAATATTTGAAAACCAAGCCATTCAAACACTCATCATTTACTTAATCTTAGCAAGATATTTGAAAATTAGAGGCTTTTTATTACATTTTCCAACCAAAGCAGGATCACTTTGCATATGGAGTATTAGATCCATCTGGAAAAGTGACACTCAAAACAACAATGCCTTTTCAAGCCCATACCACCTTGCTGCACCAGGCTCTTCATATATACTGAGTATATGACTTCCAGAAGATGCTTTTGGGAAATAAGGGTAAGGGAAGACAAAATCTACAAAGAATGTTCAAATGGTGGCCATAACAATTATAAGGCTCTCAAAAGCATCTATACTCAAGTGTTGGGATGACTTCCTGCAATTTCTCCTGTTTATTTTAAAATCAGGCTCAAGGGAGCAGCTTACAACACCTTCCTTGAATAGGTCTGAGAGCTTTAAGAGGTTAAGAATTTCACAGCTGATTATACCGACAAATAATTCCAATTTTGGATCAGCCCGAGCAATAAGGGACACAAGAAAGGAATTTCCAACGCACATGCACTGGAGCTGAAGCTGTTTGGGACTGCACCTGTCAGAGCCCAGAAACTGGAGACAGACTGTGGCCACTTGTAGTTTATTTAAAGAAAACATCTTCTGTCACCCTGCCTCTCAGTCATCACCCTGGTTTTGTTTCACGTATTTGCTGTTTAAGCCTGGGAGAGGTGGAATGAAAACTTTGTTCATTTTAATTAAACAACACAGCTGCCCACTAAACCTTCTTGACTACAGCATTCTACCTAACCACAATGCTCACAACACAGAAAAAACTCCTTCCACTTCATCCTGAGCCTGCTCTGAACAGAACACCTGGAGCAGGCATCCAGGAAAGGGAGCAGAATGCAAGGAAAAGCTCCTGCACTGATTCATTACCAAAGCAGTCAAAACCAAATACCAAGAGTACCATTAAGCTCTATTGCAACAGATCAGTGACACACTCAGGGTGAGGCTTTGGGGAAAAAGGTCATTGCAAAGTCCCTCTGCAGAGCTGGAAGTTTCTAATACCAGCCTGCCAGACCTTTACAGGCATTTGCTAAGATCTGGAAGACCACAGACTTCAGAGCAAGGTGCTGCTGTGTGTGCTGAGCCAACCACAGGAGGGGCACTGTGAAGCACAAGTGAAAAAGAAATCTCAAGCTGACTTACGGCCATTTGCTCCAGAAAAACAGCAGTTTTCCAGGAAAATGCTCTAAACAGATGAATCTTACCAAGAGGCTGGATATGAACTGTTCATCCAAGAAATACTCAGCAATGAAAGATTAACGTGCACTTTACTTTAGGGGCTTTGAACATAAAACTATCCTCCCACCTTCAAATCTACTTTCCTGAATTTCTTTGTGCAGAATATTTACAATGCCCACTTTCATTCTTAAGCAAACAGCAGAAAGAATATCTCCTTTGAGCAAACAGGTGTGGACAGACTGCAGAAATTTGCCAAATATTGATTTTGTTAGGGATGAGCTTGAAATTTCCATCTTGTTTCAGTTTCATACTGAATGAACTTTTAGAAAGTGATTTTTTAAAACAAATGTATTATACTGCATTAAAAGAAGCGAATTAAACTACTTCACATAATGAACTGAAACACCAATGATAATTGAGTAATTGAGAGCCGTAGGAATTTATCCTTCAGGGTAAAACAGTACACTGGGGAAAACGATGTTTTCCTAAGAGGTTCTGTCTTGCTCAGGCAGGGCCACAGGCAGACACTGTGGTTACTGCAGGATACAGCAAGTCAGCCAACTTATCTGGAGTGTTTTATTCTACAAGCTTTTTCTCCTGTGGCACTTCCAGTCAGGTCTCTTCCCACTTCTTGTCTATCAGGTTTTATAAAACTTACCCTGATACCTTTGGGCTTATGTTCTATCAAACCAAATTTGGTGAATACAAATAAGTGAAGAAACTGAAAATTCAATATATAAGCCCTTATTTCTGCTGGAAACTAACTTTAAAAAAATGTTAAAAGGAATGCAGTCTTCACAATGTTTGTGTAAAGCATACTGAGCATCCAAGAATTACAGGAGAAGCATTACCTGCTTGTAGTTCTCTGGATGTCTAATGATATCTGCTTCTGTGACAGAGAAATGTCCAAGGTTCTGGTCCATGTGGGAGCCACTGGTGAATGAATGGATCTGGAACAGATTGATTTAAAAGACAGTTGTCAGTGCAAGGAGCAGACCATTAAGGTCATTAACTACCACCCAACAGCTGTGTGGGTTGGCAGGGTGATGTGACCAGTGCTCACAAAGCCTTTCCCGTGGACATGGACAAGTGTGAGTGCCACCACCAACAGAATGGAGAGGAGGAGCAGGCACTACAACACTTCACAAAATGGTGCATCTGGTAGCACTGCCAGAACCACAGGCAGGAATTGCAACCACTGCTGCCACAGGAAAACTGAAGGTTTCTCTCTTTATCCTGTCTTGAAGTCTTTTTCCTTACAGCACACACGGCTGGGTGCATGGCATGAAAGGAGAAACCATTTACACAGAGAGCAGCAGTCTGAACTGAGCTAAAGTATACTCTCAGAATAATTTTTATTTCTTTTTTTAAGTAGAAAATGCTACCTAGTTAGAGTAAGGTTCTCTTTTGCTGCTCTATACTGTTGGCTTTTGCTTACCAAGACCTTGTCCCAGCTGCACTGGTGATAGGATCATCAATTACTTGATGAAGAAGCTTCCCAAGTTAGTCAAGGGAACAATAAAAAGCAATTCCTCCTATTCAGAGCTGATCCCTTTGTAACTGTAATAACTGCAGCTGCCAAACAAGATAGCAGTGCACATTTGTCAGACAATCACTCATATTTCATTAATATTTCTGCCAGAAGACAGAGAATGTTTCCTGCTTTTCTTCCTTTATTCTAATACGAACTTTATCACACACTTGGGTATTGACAACTATTTTAAAGTTGACAGGCAGTGGGTAATTATCAACCCTTCCATGAAACTTCAGAATATTTTAGCATTCCTTTCCCAAAACTCACTGCTGGTGACAACCATCTGTCACATGTGCAGAGCTATGCGAGTTTAAAAATAAAAGAGCACCTCCCCACACAATGTTCTTCCTTTCCACTGCCACTCCTCTCTCCCTGCTGCATTCTTGTGTAACTCTGGCTGCCAAACCTTTGGGCCCCGGCCCCAGCAGGGAATTTCAGCCCCTTCTCCAAGACAGGTGGCAGCAGCATCCCTGGGTAAAGCCCAAAGCAAACACAGGAAAGCTGCAACAACAGAGGAATAAGGTGCTCCCCTGAGACCACACTGGATGGATAACCAAATAATCCAGTATTTATATTTTTGCTGTCTAACTGATGGCTAACAGAAGATAAACAAGGCTTAAAGAGGGAAAGAGCACCAAAGCAGAAGCAGAGGTGAGAGGGTGAGAGGCAGAACATGCCCAGATGTTGCTCCTGGGCACTGGAATCCCCTGAGGTGGAGGCAGCTCTGATTTAACCTCACACTAACCTTTGCAAGGGAGCACAGGCACAGCCCCCACACTCAGCACCAACTCCTGAATGCCCTTGAGCTCACTCAAGCTGCTCTCCCTGCAGGGTGCCTAATTCACCTAGAGAAGATGAAAAGGGGGCTTGCTCATGGTTCACACACATTTGCATGAAAGGGAAAAATTCTAATTCTACTGCATTAAAGAATATGCTTCTGAGATCTAATGGCGAATTCACCTAAGGGGAAAAAAGCAAAGATTTTCAAACCAAATAGACAAAAAATATATAAATAAACAAGGTAGCAATTCCCAGAGCAATGTGGTAGATTTTTCATGTCAAGCTACAGATGCATCTAACAATTGCAGTTTAGCTCACTCATAAATTACTGACAATGAGGTAATTACCCATCACCAGTCCCTGCCCTCTATTATTCAGAGATCAAGACTTTGTCCTTGTCCTTTCCTCTTTCTACCTCAGATACACAGATACAACCCATTCAATCTACTCCACTACATACTATTTTATATTGTTAACAGATAAATTATTTTATATTTTAATACCTTAGAGGGGCACAAGAAACCACTCCATTTGTAGGTAGTAATTCCCAGTGCTGCTCTGCATTCTTACTAACAATACAACTCTTGCTCTTAGTTTCCAAGCAGACTGAAACCATTTTTGTTGCTTTACCATGATCTGAAAATTCCAGTTATGTTAAACTCTTCTTTTATCATTGAGAATTCCATCTAACATTATTTTATTCTTACTAACCCTTATGCACAGCTCACAATCAGATATCCACCTCCTTAAAAAAAAATCTCTGAGCCTGATCTAACCCTCACTACTTCAGGATGGAAAATAACCCCAGCATATCCATCAGTTTTGTAGAAAAAAAACCTGTTCCTCTGTTTTTATAACATGCCAATTGTGGCACAGTGCATTTAAGCAAGCCCCCCAAAAATGAAAGTTTTAAACTATACAGGTTCCTTCCTGTTTTGCTGAAACCGTGCAAGGCTTCTTATTCACATTTTCTAAGGCAAAATGGCAACTCAAAGACTAAACAAAAACAACTGCTCTCTCCTATGAATTCAAGAGGGATCAAAACTCAGGCAGACAGATTCTTCTGGCATTTGACAGAAAGAAGAAAGAGAACAGAAGGAACCAAGAGACGTGCCTGAACACAGTAATTTATTCTCCACGTTCCCATGCATTTGAAGGCACACCAGGTAAATATGTACCACTGAGAATTTCCAGGGAATTAGAATGGTATTACTACATTATACTTTCAAAGCAAGCCAACCTGTCCATGTTGAGAAGCCATTAAAATGTTATTCAACAGCTCATTGCCTCAGGCTGCAAACCTCCTCAGAAACTGAGAGGTGAAGATTTCCCTCAGGAAGTCTCCCTCCTACAGCAGGACATGTGTGCTTCTGTGAGCTTCAACATGCCTGGTGGGAGCTGAAGTCACTGAACAGCAGCACAGAGGAACAGCCAGGCAGGCCACCTAACAAGCGACTCCCAGCACAGGAGCAGCTGCAGCTCCAGGGAGGTTTCCCTCTCTTGGGGACTGCACAACTTCAGCCCATCAACCTCAGGTGGCTGCAGGCAGGATGGAGTAGACAGAGGGCACAGCAATACTCATACTAAAAAATATAGAGTGGAAGGAAGGGCAGTCATCTTCTGAGTAAGAACATTTTTTCCAGCTGTGTGGTGTTCTTCTCAGAAAGGCCCAAATAGAGAAAATGGCATTTTAGAGCTCGTGTGAGGCACAGAATGAAATCTGCAGAAGTGTCGCCGCCGGATGACAAAAATTCTAGCTCCTGATGAGCAGTAAATAAGATTGTTCCACAGCTGAGACACATAACCTGCTACGTTATTAAACAGAGAGAGTAAAAGCCTAATTATCATTTTGTAGAGAAAGCCCTCTGTAAATCTGCCAACATAATTAAAAAACATAACACTCATTAGCCTTTTGCATACTGTGTTTGTGGTTTATTAGAGGAAAGCAGCAGCTCATATAGAGGTCATACTGGGTCAGTTCAGTCTTCTAACACACAGAATGGTTTAAAAGTTTTGAAATTAATGCGGTGGTAAAAGCAATTTCTCTAGAAAGAGTCAGGAAATATCAATTATTGTTTATACAGCTGTTAAATTGTGCAAGTATCTTATATTTTGTTACCCTAAATGCTAACATTAATGTGGCACTGTAATAATGTCCTTCCAAAGCCACATTTACCTTTCCATTCTCCTGCTTTTAATTCAAACTAAAGTATAAATCAGAGCACTGCACTTTATTACAGCTCTGAACAGAACTCCCACAGCTGCACACATAATGACAGTGTGGGTTCACATGTGGAGGAGCTGGGCTCAGTTCCATCCTCCTTTGTGCATCCCCATGGTGGCACTCTGACTGTGACAATCACCACTGCTGCCTTCAGCTTCACCCAGCAGTGACAGCTGGAGAAGGCAGTAATGACAGCTTTGGGAAACTGGATGAACAGACACACACCTCCCTCCTGCTTATTCCTCCAGATTCTTGAAATCATGGTCCAGGGACCTGCAGCATAACTAACCTGCCTCTTGCAGTTGTCTGACTGTCCTAACTTTAGCACGCATTTGTCGCAGACATCTTTTTTTGCACTAAAAACCTTTCTTAGGATTTTTCTTCCTGAGAAGCTGAGAGGCCTCAGGAACAAAATGTAAACTTTGATTATCTGCTGCTGTGGAATGCAACAGGTGCATCTGTGATTGGCCCATCTTGGATGTTTATAATTAATGGCCAACCACAGCCCAGTTAGCTTGGACTCTCTGTCTGAGACACAAACCTTTATTATTCATTCCTTTCTATTCTTAGCTTAGCTAGCCTTCTGAGATGAAACTTTTCCTTCTATTCTTTTTAGTATAGTTTCAATGTAATATATATATATATATATCATAAAATAATAAATCAAGCCTTCTGAACATGGAGTCAACATTCTCGTCTCTTCCCTCACCTGAAAACCCCTGTGGACACCGTCACACACATTCTGCCTTAGATAGCCAAAAGGGGGCAAAAAAAGTCCAAGTTTATTTCAAAGTGCAACTTCCACAGGTGGGTCATCATCTCTCATCTCCCCTGCCAACAAGTTTTTAGCATGTAGCCCCATCAGCACATCTCTCCATTAGCTCAGAGGCTCATTTGGACTGCTGACAATATCTCTGTTTGTACTCAAGCCCCAGGTCTGACCTGCTCTTAATTCTTCCTCGGCCTCATTAACTGCAGGCTGAGGCACTGGAGCTGCCTAATGATTTGTTACTGTCAAGTCTCACATAAATCAGAGCACTGATGATGAGTTATGGAGGCCTTTGCCTCACCTACTGGAAAAACCAGCACACCTTAAATAGAGGTAGTTCATCAGGGGGAGGAGATGCCAATCATTCCACGTGAGATTCAGCTCTCCCAGCCCCAGCAGGGTCTGTGATCACAGTGCACAAAGCCAAGGGCTGCACAGGCACTTAGAGGGAATTGCCCCCTTTGTTCCCACACCAGGGAAGCACATCAGCAGTGGTCAGTGAGAAGCAAAGGGTTATTTTGGATGCTGCACACACTCACTAGGGTTGTCCATCAGACATCTGCCCTAGCAATCAGCTCATGGAAAGAACAAAATGTAACCTCATTATAGTTTTTAGCACTGCTGTCAGACACAGGATTAAAACCAAGAAAGCATCTTCATTCAAGGTGGAGATGGTTCTGACAACTTTTTGATGTGTACTTTGGGAAGAAATTTCCCCAGATCATTTTTAGTCTCAAAAAAAGGTTTTCTCTGAAGGTTTTGAGTACAGTAATAGCTGTCTCCATTTAAGTTATTTAAAGAGATATAAATGGAAAAGGGGAACCTAGGGAAAGCAATACATAATAACTTTTAGGACTACCTTAAGAACTTAAGAATTTTTTAATTTGTTTCTGGAGTCACCCCCACGGCTGACTTTGGGACTGAAGGCTGGTTCCATCCTAAACAGATATAATGCTCCCAGATATCTGTGATTAGACAGGCACCTAAACACCCATAAATGGGAAGATAACTGGAACCTTAGCAGTGTAGGGACCATTACTGATTCCTGATTTAAAAGCAGGTAAATTTTGGGTTCTGCTGAGATGTCCCCTGGTACTTTGGAGAGAGATTTTGCATTTTATTTTGCTATTACTTTCAATATTTATGCTTAACATTTTGAATCCACATTTCCCGTGAACTTCTAGTTCTGCATTGCTACTTCTTGTCTGGGGAGCCAGAGTGCTCTGTCTTGTTTCTACCAGGCATTTTCTGAGAAAAACAGCAGCAGCCTTTGGTTGCAGAAGTGACTAATGTGCCAACCCGCAAAAGAGACTTTTATACAATTACAGCCTTACAAACACTGAACATGCTACATTTTCTCATGGTTCTGCCACACTGGGGAAAGACAGAGGTGCTTATATTCAGAGTGATTCACTCTTACCTACAGAAAATGCAGAACTAGCAAGCAAGAATAATTTGTACATTTAGCTCTAGCTGACAAGGCTTTTAAATAATCAACTATGTCATGGTGAGTTAGAAGAATCATTTACCTTGTGCAAAAGTTTGCATTGCTCCTGGTGCTGAGCGTGCAAACTGCACCACTGCAACCTCAGCCTCCCGTGCAACCACTGCAGGTACCGAACATCCACTCTGCCTTCAGGCCCTGCTTCACCTGGGCCTTCCTGGCTCTCAGGCACATCATCTTCACACTGAAAGCAGGAAAGGATACCAGACTGATTTAATTAGTTTCAATATTTTCAAGTCATCCATCAGTGAACACACAAGATATTCAGGCCAAAGAAGAAGAAAATCGCCCTAAAATGAAGTCAATTCCAGCAGCACAGAGAAATTAGAACACAGGACTGGGAACAGCCTAAACAAGTAGAGAAGTGTGGAATACATATCAGCTTCTCAGCTGTGATATGGTGAGCTGTCTCCCCTCCCATCTTTCATTTTCCATACCCAGGAAGACACAGTGTTCCTGAGACAGCAAGCATGTTCTTTACCCAGACGGGAAAAAATGTATTTTGACTGCATTCTAATATGTCAAAGAACATAAATAAGATTTAGCTCCTGCAGTGTCTTCCTGAGACCCCATTTTGTAAATCAATAACTTATACAGGGACAAAATCATGGGCCTCTGCTTGCCCAGCTATTTTCTTCTCTCCATCCAGCATTTCCTGTCTGGCAGGATTGAGGAAAAGAAAAAATCCTGCAGCTGGCAGAGACCAGGACTCCACAGAGGCACTCCCAGCTACAGTTGTATCATCTGTCTTGCTTGTTTTGCCTTTTTCTAGAGTAATTTGGAAGGAAGAACAGAGAAGCAAAGAGTTTCCATTTGTTCATCTTGTCCCACTTTCCCTCTGCTGCAGATGAAAACCCAACACCAGCCAACACCTTCATCTTCTGCATGAAATTTCTGCAGCACATTTGTTGTATCTCTTTCCCAGGAACACAGGGAATTCCACCTCCCCCAGCCCCTTGCACAAAGAGATCATTCACATGTACAGACAGACCTCTCCGTTTGCAGCTCAGACTCCTGCAGATTGCAAATTAAGAGGGGAAGAAGACATGGGTAGTTTTACCTCTGATGCCAGTAATACCATTTAAAGTAGAGCTTTCCCTTTCATGCAGTCTATAGGAATTACACACAATAAACACAACCCATCATTCCAAACATTTTTACCACATGTCATAAGAAGTAGAAATAACACAGAACTGCAAAGACCTGGTTATTCAGAACGGATGTTTGCCATTCTGAAAGTGTCTCCCAGTTCTTAGACTCTCAAGACATTTCTTTTAAGTAGAAATTTTAAAAGCCTATTTGAAACATGACTGTTTGCAAGAAAACACTTAGGGAGATATTTGGACCCCAGACCTTGATGGTATTTAAGCATATGTGCTTCCCTGCTTCACAGATTTACACGTTCAGGAAAATCTTCAAAAGATCCAGTTGGCAGGCAAAGCTTGGATGTAGTTCCAATTTGGATCCTAAACTAACAATGCAAACTGTAAAATGAAGAGATTTAATCTTGCCTAAAATGCAGATTTCAAGTGTGTCTACAACCATGATCAAATAATCCCCTAACACTTGTTTTAACCTAAATATCTGCAGCTGACAGAGCCTCTATTACAATGAGTGTCCCTATTATTCATAAGCACAAAAATGCTTTTCTGGTCACATACCAAACTGTATCAGTATTACAGGTCTGTTCCCTTTTGCTCTGTGGCTCAGATAAACAAATGCTATAAATCACAGAGGTGCAGGGCTGGTAAAGGGCTTCTACTTTAAAGGCACAGATTCATCTTTAACAAAAAAAAAAAAAAAAAAAAAAAAAAAAAAAGAGGGAAAAAAAAAAAAAGAAAAAAGAGTTTGCGTCAACTCCAACATCCCTCTTCTTCCTCTGCTCCTTTGTCTCCAGGCTCCCAAACCAAGGCACTGTGTCCTAGGGCACTGCAGTCCAAGCCAAGTAGCTCCATGTAAGAGCCTGAATGAGGGATGTGGGACTCCAGGCAGCTCTCCAAAATGCAGTTTATTCCATCCAAGAGGTTACAGCAGTCCAGGGTCATGGGTGACAGAGCTGTGCCCACAGCTGTCAGCTCCAGTTGCAGCCAGGCCTGGAGACACTTTGGTTTTGGTTACATTGCATTATATAATTTTGCTTTTCTTTGCTGAGCATCTTAATACAAAAGAACCAATCTACACCTTAACTTTTACCTATAGCCTATCATAACTACTATAATTACCATATTCATGTTACTGTTCTCCAATCACTAAAAGTTAGTACATTACAGTTTAAGCTAGATGTTTTTCAGTTTTCTTGCAATGGAAAATTCTAAGACCTTTCTTCTACTTGCAACATTGGCAGTCCTGTCTGCCTGTGCTTTCTGCCTGGCAAAAACATCTTCTTGTTTGGGGTGGGTTTATCCTTTGCTCTAAGCCATAAAAACCCCTTCTAACTAACACACCCTTTGCCTCCTTGGTTATCCAGTAAGACTGGCTCAGCAATTCTTTTCTTCTGTATCAAAACTTGCTTTCATTTCTACTCCTTCTTCAGATTTTACATTCAAAAATCTTTCTTCCAAGCATCCATATCTGTGAGACTTTCTTGTCAAACTTTCATCCTTCCCAACACCTCCACAGCTCAGATGTTTTGCCCCAGCCAGGAAGGTTTCAGGACCAGGACACCATGCAGATATGATCACCAAGCTGCCCATTAGCATGGTAGCCAAGCAGCTGGATATTAGTTATGGCAACAGAGAAAACTCACGTGTAAAGAACATTAAAACACCTCACATAAGCAGCTAGAAAGCCACAAGGCCAAAGACAGACTTGGGAATCCCAGATTAAAATCTGCAGTGTCCATAATTTACAGTCCTACTCCAACTTCCCTGGTTAGAGGTTTCAGAACAGCACAAATACTGCTCTCCTGGGGATTTATTTCAGGAAGGAATGGCATTAGACTCGATTGCTTTGGCAGTACAGTGACAAACACCATGCAGAGCTAATTTTATTGTAGCAACCTGCCTTATTAATATTAAAATAAGGAAGCCAGCCAATGCATTTTTAACAGGATCTCTCCATTATTTATTTCACAAACTGCACAAAAAATTTACTTTTGCTATGAAATACTTATCCCAGCATAAAGTAAACAAGGTAAAAAAAAAAAAGGTCTTGCATATTATACTGTGACCTCAATTTCCAGTCCCATCTTTACAATCTAAGACTATTTACTGCTCTCCCAGGGGGTGAAAAATCACTAAAACACCGGCCCAAGCTACAGGCTTTGCTTTGAGTATCACTGTGAATTTATCTAACCTATGTAGCAGCCCAGGTACACACCTACACTCCCTCTGAGATACAGAAGTGCATATTTTCTTAGTCCAGTTCAGAGAGAGCAGCCAAGGCAACTACCCAGGGACCCCAATGGCCTTCCCACACTTGGGATGCTCCACACCACTTCTGGAAGAGATCATTCCACAGCCACTCCCCAGAGAAGCATTTTGCTTGCAAACTGTTTGCTGCAATTAATGCTTCTCTCTAATTCCATTTCACACAAGGGAGGTGCCGGGATCAGCTCGAGGAATTGGTGCCACAGCCCTGCAGTTCAAAAGCCACATGAGCAAACATCAATGCCCTCCTCATCACCACACGGAGGCTTTTCCCATCACTGTGATACCTGAGCTGGGCTGGTCAAACTGGGAGTTTGGACCTGCCAGAGCACCCCTGAGCAGTGTAACTTAGGAAAACTGATTAAGCAGAAGATAGAACGAAGCTCCTCATTTCACTCCCACCATAACTCACCCCCAAAGGAGCTTTCTATCCTAAAAGCTCCAAGCACTGCTGTTAGAAGTTTTCAGTATCCACTCATTGGCAAGACTAAGAAAAGCAAGCACAAGTGATCAAAGTGACAAGCATATATTTACACGAGCTCCCTCCAAGCCAGTTTCTGAACTATCACCCTGCCCACACTCCAGCAGAACCACCTCTCCTGTGGTAAAAGACCCAGGAGAAACAAACAGCTAAGCCCCAGAACAAATACACCTTCCAAGACAACACCCATCACCATCCCAGCTAAGGTAGCTCACAAACTACAAAACCTACCCCAGGCTCACAAATACACCTCTGGCTTAGTCAGACCTAAACGTGGTTTATGTCCCAAAAGCACATTTTTAACAATTTTTGCAAGGCAGCCTAGAATTCAGTCTTTAACACACAAATTTTGCCCAAAACATCAAATCCCAATCTATTTCAAGTCAAATTATAAAAAAAAAGGTATCAGATCATTCCCAAAAAGTGTGAATTGGCTTGTGGTTAGACAATGCAGCAAGTGCATTAAAAAACCCCTAACACTGCCAAAGTCCTCCTGGCAGAATTGTTCTGAGCAGACAAGTCAGAGTCATGAAATACAGTGAACTGAAAAAAGCCATCAGATATGAAAGTGTTCAGAGGAAAAGAATTAGGGGTGGGAGAAAGGAGGGTGTGAAAAAGACATGGTGCTTTATCAATTTTCAGCCACATTCCATACATCTGAGGAAACAACTTGCATGCAATGTGCTTAGAGAGAAATTAAAGATTAAGAAGTTTCAACTTCAACAGCAGAAATGAAGCTGTTCTTTTTTGGTTTGAAATACAAAGCAATCCCACTTTATCAGAGAGCAGGTGTACCAACAGTAGATGGAGATAAATTAAACAAGTACTTCATCACATAAATACTTCATCAAAGAACAACACAGGCACCAGTGTGTTTACAGACATATGAGAAGGGAGCATTTTTTCCACTGCTTGCTCTATTTGAGGATTTTAGTGACTTGGTATGGAATAGATTTTGCTCTGCTCATACATTTTGATTTACTAAAACTCCAAAAACTGATTTAATGAAAACTTCCTCGCAGATCCAGTGATATGCCATTAGCAGGACTGCAGAGGAAACACTCTGCTGCGCAAATTCATCTAGACTTTCTACACTATTCCTACTGATATAGGAATCTTTCAGGCTTATAAATCCTTACCTTAATAAATTCACTGTGCTCTGAGCAGGCACTGGAATAGAAAGGGCCGTGCTGCCTGCACTGCTGTAAAACACAGCCATGGCAGGGCTGGCTCCCCCAGATATGCTCTTTTCTGACTGTGAGCTGCCACCTGTCGGCCCAGGACAGAGCCCAGCTCATCCCCACCGAGCTCTGCCTTTCCCCAGGCATCTTCCAA